ACCTGAATTGTTCACTTTATTTTTATTTCTTAATTTATTTTTTTTATTTATTTTTTTAAGATTTCATTTATTTATTTGAGAGAGAGCAAGAGCAAGAGAGAGCAGAACACAAGCCGGGAGAGAGGCAGAGGGAGAGGGAGAAGCAGGCTCCTCGCTGAGCCAGAAGCCCGATGTGGGACTCGATCCCAGAACCCTGGGATCATGACCTGAGCCGAAGGCAGACGCTTAACCAAATGAACCACCCAGATGCCCCATTTATTTATTTATCTTTAATAAATTTTTAAAAAATTTATTTTAGAGAGAAAGAGCATGAGCAGGAGGGGCAGAGGGAGAGAGAATTTCAAGCAGACTCGGTGCTGAGCGTGGAGCCAGATGTGGGGCTTGATCTCACCACCCTGAGATCATGACCTGAGTCAAAACCAAGAGTAGGACGTTCAACTAACTGCATCACCCAGGCGCCCCTGAATCGTTTATTTGAAAATGGTTCATTTTATATTATGTGAATTTCACCTCATTTTTAAAAAGTTTTATTTATTTGAGTAATCCCTATACCCAACATGGGGCCCTGAACTCACAATCCTGAGATCAGGATCAAGAGTCGCATGCTCTTCAGACTGAGCCAGCGAGGCACCCTGATAAAAGAATTTTTTTTTTAAGATTTTATTTATTTATTTGAGAGAGAGAGAATGAGAGATAGAGAGCACGAGAGGGGAGAGGGTCAGAGGGAGAAGCGGATGCGGGACTCGATCCCGGGACTCCAGGATCATGACCTGAGCCGAAGGCAGTCGCTTAACCAACTGAGCCACCCAGGCGCCCATAAAGCAATTCGTTTCTTGTAGGAAAATCCAAACATAAAAGTATAGTAAAAAATTGCAATTTCTTCTTCTAGCTGCTCTGCATTCCACATCCAATCCCACCCCACAAATACACCTTCCATTAACAATTTAATATGTAACTATTCACACTTTAAAAAGTTTTATAACATACAAAGAGATACATATGTCTCTTTCTCTCTCAGATGTTTACTGAGCACTTTACCCATGCCAGGCAATGTTGCAGGCCATGAGGACAGTAGCAAATAACAGAGTCATGGACTTAATTTTCCAGTAGGAGGAGATGGGTAGGAAGCATGGGAACAAATGAGAATTTCAGATTGTGATAAGGCATCTGAAAAAATAAAACTGGGCAAGAGGGTAGAGAGTGATGTGGGTTGGTGGAGGGCCAAGGTGGTTAGGAGAGGACACATTGGCGCTGAATGACAATGAGCTGGAGAGGTGAAGATCTAGGGAAGGAGCATTCCAGGGAGAGGAAAAATCTAGGTGTTTTTAAAGAAATAGGATTACACTAGATACACTGATCTGCTGAATATTCTACACATACAAGGTATATTGCTCTTGCCTACTTCATCATATATTATAAATGGATTTCTCCATCAGCACCTAGTCTGTGTCACTCTTTTTTGATAGCTGCATATTATTCCATACTGTTGCTATCCATCATGTATTTAATCAGAATTTCCCTGTTGATGGATATTTAGGTTGTTTCTGGTTTGGAGCTGCTGCAAAAATGCTGGAAAGGACAGCTTTTTACACTTGCATTCACATTTCTACAGAAAACATTTCCAGGAGTGGCCCTGCTACCTCAGTGTCCATGTGTGTGCACATGTTTTCATCCGCTAAACCCCTGGGATGGCCATGAGTTTTCATATCAGCCTCATGTTCAGAAGCATAAAAGATAAACTTTTGTTTAGGTGTGGAGCTCTTTGCAGGGCTTGAACTCATGACCCTGAGATGAAGACCTGAGCTTGAAATCAAGAGTGGGACGCCTAGCAGACTGAGCCACCCAGGTGCCCCCTAAAAGATAAGCTTTTATTTATTTATTTATTTATCTAAAGATTTTATTTATTTATTTGAGAGAGAGAGAATGAGAGATAGAGAGCACGAGAGGGAAGAGGGTCAGAGGGAGAAGCAGACTCCCTGCTGAGCAGGGAGCCCGATGCGGGACTCGATCCCGGGACTCCAGGATCACGACCTGAGCCGAAGGCAGTTGCTTAACCAACTGAGCCACCCAGGCGCCCAAAGATAAGCTTTTAGATCAAAGAAGCAAAACAAAGTACTGTGTGCTAAATTAAAAGGGGCAGGTGCTGAGACCCTGATTCACTTTATTATTTTTTTAAAAAATTTTATTTATTTATTTATTTGACAGAGACAGACACAGCGAGAGAAGGAACACAAGCAGGGGGAGTGGGAGAGGGAGAAGCAGGCTTCCCGCTGAGGAGGGAGCCTGATGCGGGACTCGATCCCGGGACTCCAGGATCATGACCTGAGCCGAAGGCAGTCACTTAACCAACTGAGCCACCCAGGCGCCCCCTGATTCACTTTAAAGGCAGAATATCTAAGTGAGGAGAGGAAGATGGCAGAGAACAAAAGAGAGAGAATACTAGGAATGCCAGCTGGTGGGGCTTGCATCGGAAGATGGGAACTCTCTGTTGTGGAAAGGCTCAGACCTCGAATAAGCATGGCGTTGTAAAGTACAGCAGTTGTCAGGCTAACCCTGTGTGTGCATCACAGCACAGAGCAGGATGTCCTTGGGAAAACTCTCTCTTAAAGTTGATAGTCCTGTGTCTCAACAGCCCTAAGTGAGTATAAAAGGGCAGTATCACCAGAAACTTCCTATTGATGCACTGATTCATTCAGTGAAACATTTGTTAAGCACGTTTCCTATGCCAGGCATCATACCGGGCGTTGGGAATATAAAGAAGATGAAAAGATGCTGACCTCAAGTCTCTCAATCTTAGCACAACAACAATTATCAAGAAGAGCTTCTCATTTTCCTGCTGGAGCAGTGCCTCAACCCTGGCAGGTCAAGGCTTTTGAAAACCAATGGAGTGGATTCTTTCCTGAATTTCCATAATTATCCTATTCAGAGACCTGACATCAACTGCTTTTCTAAGCAGCTGGTCTCAGCGGTTTTTGTCTTTGTCTCTAGAAAAAACCCGCAGGCACAAAGACACTGCTAATTTAATTTGATGTGAAGAGCTAACCTAAGAGGGATCCATCATCCAGTGCCCTATGGGTGATCCACGTTGAAGTATGGCATCCAATGATAAAGCAGTTGGAGGACAGTGTGGGTCACTCTTTGAGTCAGCTACTTGTTTTGACATTTGTGTGTGTGTGTGTGTGTTGACTTTGTTTTTAGGAGTAGGTTAGGGGGTGCCAATCTTGAGTGAGAAGGCACTTTATTTTGGACACACTGTATTTTCTTCCTGTTGTGAATATAAGATAAAAATATTTATCTCAATAGCAATGCAGGTCTCCCTTATATGAAGGAGTTTTTATATCAATTATTAATAAGTTCTGAGTAAATTTGAGGGCAATCATTTAATACCAACTTTAAAGTGGGCACTCTTAAGAAAGATTTCAATGGGTCTTCAGAGAACTATATTAATAGTATGTAACCTGAACTTTCTGTTAATCTGGGGACTACATCATCTATCGTGGAAAAAAAGAAAAGTCAATGTCCAGAAGATTTCAGGGAGCACTGACCACAGATCTGAAGAAAAACTTAAAGCCAGGCTTGTTATAATGGAGGTCCCTGGTTTCTTCATATTTACAGCACTTGATATCTCAAGTATTAAGAAGAGTTCAGGAAAAAGGGGAACCGGGGTGGCTTAGTCGTTGAGCATCTACCTTCGGCTCAGGTCATGATCCCCCGGTCCTGGGATCAAGCCCCACATCGGGCTCCCTGCTCAGCGGGAAAGCCTTCTTCTCCCTCTTCCACTCCCCCTGCTTGTGTTCCCTCTCTCGATGGGTCTCTGTCAAATAAATAAAATCTTTAAGAAAAAAAAAAAGCATTCATAAAAATTGCTAGTTTAATATTAAACAGAATTTCAAACCACTTTAGCAAAGAATTTGTTTTGAAAGGTACCTGACAGCTTTGTTTTTGAGTTGTCTTATTAATGGGCTGAATCCTCTTTTATCTTTAAGATACAGGTATTTAAAATTTAAATTCATATCTAGATCTAGATTTTGGACTGTAACATACGGTTGTTAAGAAACATCTATTCTCTGTGTGTCTACGCGTTTACTCTGTAATTTTTAGCAGGTTAGTTGCACTCTTGTCTAGACTCTTTGGAGAAAAAGTCAACAATATGTTTTTCCCCGTTTGGGCTCCGCATGGGTGAATTACAGGAAAACTTAACAGGTACTCAGAACAACGTTATTTTCCTACTTTATGTAATTGGGTCCAAGTATTTATCTTTCGCTTCCCCCCCCCGCCCCCGCCCATGTTTACCTAAACTCAGTCTGCCCGCGTGAGAAGCAGTCAATAAAACACTACGGGAATACTCGAGCAAATCCCATCGTTCAGAAAAAAAACACTTCACTTAATGGTGCGTATAGAAGCTGGACGCACCAAAATAACCGTATTCGTTGGATACAGCTGGATACATTATGGAATAGGCCAATCCTCTGTTTAATTTGCAGGGCCCTTGGCCGGGAGGAGGGAGTCGATGGAAAAGTTTGGGTGAAGGCTTTAAATGAATAGTCTAACAGACGGTGAGTCATTCCAAGTTTCCAGTTAATAATCCCCTGTGCCGGGGCAGAGCCTGGGCCCGAGAGCTTTACGAGCCACACTACAGTTTAAGTTGTACTGTCTCACGGTTTTATTCTCTTCTACCAAATGAATACATAAAATGTAAGACGCGCAGCGTCGGCTTTGAAATGTAGGGCAAAATCTGGCTGGGGGCGGGGAGAAGGAAGGTGGAAAGAGAGCACAAGGTAGGGAGACTGAGAAGCAGAGAGCGCACAGGCTGGTGATGCGAGAAGGAAAGAATTCCAGGAGGGGAGCGCTGTGTTTTGCGCCTTAGAACTGCTGTCCGTTTCCCCGCATCCTGTGCCCAACAGGACGGCGAGGACCACCCCGGGGTCTGAAGTGTCGCGCAAAGACGCGCCCCCACCCCTGCCCCCACCAAGTGACAGGTGGGGCCGCCGAGCGACTACTGGACCTCCGCCTCCTCGCGCTGCCTGCCGGGAGCCAGAGCCGCTTCCGGTTGCTCTGGGGTTCGGAACTCCGACTCCCGTCGGCTCCCGGGAAAACCGCAGCGGGGTCGTGCGGGTGCTGCCGGAACTCGTAGTTCCATCTGCTGCAGCGCCTCATAGCCGGAAACTGGGAAGGGCAGGGCCAAGAACTACCGAGGCGAAGGTACGGGTGGCAGGGAGGGGTCAATCCGCGCCGGCGTGGGGTTGGCGGTGAGGCGGTCCGAGGTGGTTGGGGTTGGGTGGGAGGAGATCCGCTCGCACACACGAGGAGGGTTGAGACGCCGCCGCCGTTGTCGCGAGTGCGGAGTTGGGACTGGAGCCTTCGCCGCGACAACGCCGGGGATTGTGTCGCTAGCCCCTGGCCCCTCTGCCTCGCCGCTTCGCCGGGTCATCGCGGCCTCCTCCTGCCCGGCCCGTGGCCCCCGCCTCCATTTCCCGCCCTCTCTTCACCACACACACGGCCCCCCCGATCATGGATCCGGGCAGTGGCGGTGGTGGTGGCGGCGGCGGCGGCGGGAGCAGCAGCGGCAGCAGCAGCAGCGACTCGGCGCCCGACTGCTGGGACCAGGCGGACATGGAAGCCCCCGGGCCGGGTCCGTGTGGCGGCGGCGGCGGCCCCTTGGCGGCGGCAGCGACGGCGGCGACCGAGGCCCAGCGTGAGCACCTCAGTGCGGCCTTCAGCCGGCAACTCAACGTCAACGCCAAGCCCTTCGTGCCCAACGTCCACGCCGCCGAGTTCGTGCCGTCCTTCCTGCGGAGCCTGGCCCAGCAGCCGCCGCCCCCAGCTGGCGCCGCCACCCCCAACCACGGAGCCGGCAGCGGCGCGGGAGGCCCTCCGGGTAAAGGGCCGGGACGCGCGGGGCGGCCTCGGGGCGCGGGAGGAAGCCGGGCTAGGCGAGGGCGGGAGCAGCCGGCCTGGGCCGGGAGCCCAGTGGGGCTGGGGGTGGGGTGGGGTCCGGTGGGCTCGGGCGGCGCGCCCCGCGGGGCCGGGTGGCACGTGGAGCGCTGACAGCGGCGCCGGGCGCGGGTAGCCCTGGGTGGGGCGGCCCGGGGCCGGGAAGGCGGCCTGCGCGGGGCGGCGGCGGCGGCGGCGAAGGGCCGGGCGGGGCGGGGGCGGCGTGCGGGATACACCCGCGGGGCCTGGAGGCCGCCCCTTCCCCGGGGGGGCCGCAGCCACCCCCTGGCAGTGGGGACCGTATGGGACGGAGAGGGGGCCGCGGCAGGTCAGTGCCACGAGGCCTAGAAGTGAGGACAGATGGAGCCACGAGTGGGTCGGGTGGGCGTTGAGAGATCCGAGGAGTTGGCGAGGACGAATGCTCGAGTTTTCCCTTCACCTTCGGCCGAGCCGAGAGTCTTTTGCTGCAATTTCTATTATTGAGACTGTAATTGCGTTTTAAATGTCTGTGACACGGAACCGTCCTGAAAGAATCCCAAGATGCATTGCAGCCTTGTGATACGGCCGAAACTGTTGGCTATCAATACAAAGATCTCGTTCACCCTTAGCATTTGTAAGCTTGTAAAGTTCGCAAAGTGTCAGAAGTTAAGAGTTCCTCACTTAAACGTTAATGTGTTAGGAAACTACATTGATCTGTGTGCCCTTTTCCTTAAGTGGGACTTGGGCTTTTCTTCTTAGTGACACGTTTGGAATTTTCATTGCGTTAAAATAGTTTACCTTACTCAGGTTGCTTGGAATAACTCGCTCTGTCTCTGTTACTGTGTCAGGAGTGAGTCTGTTCACACACTTGAGCATTTGTTAGGACTTAGTAGTTGTCATGTGCCATTCTCATCAGCGCTGGTAGGCCTTCTTTCTGTGGTTTCAAGTCAAGTTCGGTCTTTAAAAATCTTGCCGTGTTCTGCTTCAGTGTGATAGCATGCTTTCGGGAACTGACTTATAGGAATGTCAAATCAGAGAACTTTATACCTCCCAGATACAGGTGCTTATGTTAGGAACTGTCCGTGTTGATTAAAGAGAAAAAGAAAGGAGAAGGTGGAATGTCCTTCCCATTATCTAACCAGGGTATTGGGGCCTGGGTCATAGATGTTCCCAACAATTTGTGTGTGAGAATGGGTTGTTGATTTCTCTTTAAAGTTCTAAATTGTGGTATTTCTTAGATAAGTGGACATCATAAAAGTGCTCTCGGAGGTTAGTTTCTTAAATTTTTGCTATAGTTTTCTCTCTCGAGGCAAAAAGTTTGAAGAAATACTTTTGCAAAGTGTATATGTGAATACACAGTTTGGATTTGATTGTTTTATTGACTGGTATTTGTATAGGCACTTGTTATTTTCCTTTTGAATAAGGAAATTCAGTTATTTATTTTTTGCTTAGATCAAGCCATTTTGGCTGCCGGAACTAGTTCATTACCAGCTCCTAAAAGTGTCGGTTTCCCCATACTTTATCATGGGTAGATTCCTTTTATCCAGCCATTTTCTTTTTGCCCCCCCCCTTCCTTTGGAGGCTCCAGCACCACTTGGGCTACACGTAGAACTCCGTTTGCAGGGGATGTAGCCATCAGCCATCAAAAGACAGTCATCCTTAGCGCAATAGTCAGGAATAATGGTTATTGTTGAGTGGTTAGGCAGTACCTCTTAGGTGGGGGGATTGCTTTTCTCTTCCTGGTATTTGCCAATTTCGGCTTTATCTTAACCCTTTTCTCTGTGACACTACTAGAAGTGGGAGATGTAAAAGTGTGTGGGGAAGTGGTTGTTGGTAAGAAAATTCCCTACATTGTGGTCTGGTTTTTCTTTTTTTATTGGAAACCTATATTGGTGTTACTGATTTTATCAGATGCTTCTACAAAATGCCTGTTAATTTTAAAAAATAATCCTCTGTAGGATGTTTATTTAGAAAAGAATAGGGTGCCTGAGTGGCTTAGTCAGTTAAGGTCTGCCTTCGGTTTGGGTCATGATCCCAGAGTCCTGGGATCGAGCCCCCCCCCCCAGTTGGGCTCCCTGCTCAGCCGGGAGTCTGCTTCTCCCTCCCTCTCCCCCTGCTTGTGCTCTCTCTCTGTCAAATAAATAAAATCTAAAAAAAAAGAATAGATTTTTAAATTGAGGTCCAGAGTTATGTTGGATTGCATGTTCCAGCCCATTCAGGTCCGTAAAATACCACGGTAGAGCAGGGAAGTGTGCTTGGAAGAAGCAGGGAAAAAGTTGGAAGTAGCACTTAGATTGAAATTCACAAAGGGGGGGAACCATAAGATTTGCAAGTTTTTTTTATGGTGAGGAAATAGTAGGGCAAGCATGTTTTCTTTTGTTGTTAAGCCATAGCTGAAATTTGTGGTGGGTGTGTTTTGAAATATCAGGAGAGCTCTTGAAGGAGTCTGTCTAGACTAGAGCACCAGAATGAATGACGTAAAATGTGTCTATCTAGAATGAATATCTGTCATTTCTCCTGAAAATTCTCTCTTCTCCCTCCCTCCCTTCCTTTTCCCTCCCTCCCTCCATTCCTTCCTTCCTTCCTTCCTTCCTTTTTTTGGAAATAGTTTCAGTGGGCCTTGAGCAAGAGGAGGAAGATGCTTTTGCCCCAAGTATCAGTCACCTTACTGGAGGGCTGCTAGTTATGCCTGTTTCTAGCTGTCCCACGTCAGAACTTGGGATTCAGTGTTGACCTTGAATCCCTTTGAAAATTTAATACAGGTTTCCGAAGGAATGATTAAGTAGAACACATTTAAGTGTAATTAAGTATAATTCATTTAAGTGTATTCTCTACAGATCCAAGTAAATTGGCTAAGTGATTCTCCTTAAAGTAGAGGTCCTGAAATGAATGAAAATATAAGACAGGGGTTACTTGTACTAGAATTAACATTTTCTGTGATAGAATGTACTTGAAGTTCCACTTTGTACCCGGTTCAGTCTTTTTGTTGTTGTTGTTGTTAAATGAGAAACATTTAGCAGTGGTGGTCAGGGTTACTCTGTGTCTTGTTTTATTTGGGCTGCTGTAACAAAATACTCCAGACTGGGTGGCTTTTAAACAACAGAAATTTATTGCTCACAGCTATGGAGGCTGGAAGCCCAAGATCAGGGTTCTGGCCTGTTCTGGGGAGAGCCCTCTTCTGGATAGCCAACTGCTGACTTCCTGTGTCTTGAGGCAGAAGGAGCAAGGGAGCTCTAGGGGGACCTCTTTTTTTTTTTAAATAAAGGCAATAATCCTATTCGTGAGGGCTCCACCCTCATGACCTAGGACCTCCCAAATGCCGCACTAACTTTATCACATTAGGCATTAGGATTTCGATATAGGGATTATGGGAGACACAAATATTCAGACCATACATAGCACTTGGACTTTTAGAACAGCCGGAGCTTCTAAAATAGTGGTGTAGTGTCCTTTCCACCACCCCACTCTCAACACCTCTCAAAACTCTGCCATTAAAAGCAGTACAGAGGGATTCCTGAGTGGCTCAGTTGGTTAAGCGGCTGCCTTTGGCTCAGGTCATGATCCCAGGGACCTGGGATCGAGTCCTACGTCGGGCTCCCTGCTTGGTGGGGAGCCTGCTTCTCCCTCTCCCTCTGCCTGTTGCTTGCCCTACTGTGCTCTCTCTCTCTCTCTCTGGCAAATAAATATAATCTTTAAAAAAAAATAAGTAAAAGCAGTACAGAATAGGGGCACCTGGGTGGCTCAGTCGTTAAGCATCTGCCTTCGGCTTAGGTCATGATCCCAGAGTCCTGGGATCGAGTCCCACATCGGGCTCCCTGCTCCGCGGGAAGCCTGCTTCTCCCTCTCCCACTCCCCCTGCTTGTGTTCCCTCTCTCGCTGTGTCTCTCTCTGGCAAATAAATAAAATGTTTAAAAAAAAAAAAAACAGTACAGAATAAAACTAGCAGGCCTCAGCAGGCCCTCCAAAGAATTGTCTCCAAAATGTTGCACATTATGTTGTGAAGCTTGAATTTTATTTATTTTTTATTTTTTTAATATTTATTTATTTGAAAGAGAGCAAGAGCGAGAGAGGGAACACAAGCAGGGGGAGTGGGAGAGGGAGAAGCAGGCTTCCCGCCGAGCAGGGAGCCCGATGCGGGGCTCGATCCCAGGACTCTGGAACCATGACCTGAGTCAAAGGCAGACGCTTAACGACTGAGCCACCCAGGTGCCCCTGAAGCTTGAATTTTAAAGAGAAATGGTCTATATTGTAGTGTTTGGGTTTCACTGAATGCTAACTTTTAGTGGGGGAGGGATTTTCTTTTTTTTTAGTGATTGAGCTATAACTCACAAAAAATTTACCTTTTAGAATTATACAGTGGTTTTCAGTATATTCACAAAGTTATACAACCATCACCATTTGGTGAATGCTTGTTAATCACTCATCTCTCAAAGGTGACCTCCTCAGAGCCACTGGAGTAGAGAAGATCCAGATTCAAAGTAATAGTTGTTTTGTCCAGCAGGGCCCTTAGACTTTATTTACATTAAACAATACCTGTGGAAACTGAGAGATAAGTTTAGATAGATAATAGATAAGATTCTTGAGATTTGTTTTTCTTTCTGTAAGACCAAAGGCCTGCAACAACAACTCTACTGTCAAGGATTTTTCAGGCTTCCATGGGACAGTAAGTGAAATAGAGTAAGCAGAGGAAATCGGGGAAAAGTATTATTCCTGGAGTGTCATTTCTTTTCCTACCTAATTTTCTGTTCTACCTGGTTATTTCCTTTTCTGCCTTGACTTACTCATTATTAGACTGTTAGATTTGGGCTCTTATTTCATGATTTTACAAACTGTTAGAATTTTTGATTGGGAAGAAACCCTCTTTGGGGCAGGTTTTATTTAATGTAGTTAGTACATAGCTTTTTTTTTTTAAGAGATTTTATTTATTTAATTGACAGAGAGAGAGAGAGAGGGAACACAAGCAGG